TTTTTTTTTTTTTTTGTTTTACAAAAGTGACTTTGGTTCACTTTCTTTTGGAAAATTTGACAAAAGTGACCACCTTTGTCAAATGGGCAACATTCTTGTCTTTAAAATTTTGAGGGAGTGTAGGGGACAGCTGTCGTGGTACCATTTGCAATTTGAAAAGTATTATTATTTTAGCCATTTGTACAAAAAATATGACTCTGTCCATCATTTCTGTCTTTTCTTTCGGATTTTCTGATCCCGTCTTTGATTTGTTCAGCTTAGACTTAGTTATTCGATTTTCATGTGAAGAATTATCTTCATCTTGACAGATTTTGATCGGCCGAATTCGTCGATGGGCAACATTATTGTCTCTTTGTAATTTCTCCAATTTTTCATAACGTGCTATGATGAAACACCGTTTTTTGTGTTTTAGTTAACTGAGTCAACTCGCCGTTTGAGAGTATCAGCCATCTGTACAAAAGCGAGATTCCAACTCGTTTACTTTCTTTCTCCTGCGGCTTCCAGCCCCTGTCTGATTGCTCTTCGAGGATGGATATGTGTTTGCCATTGAAGGTTTTATGGAAGTTCACGGCGGGACATGTCTTCAAGTTTCTATATGGGCAGGGAGTTTACATCAACAATCTGGAGGAAAACGTGGAAGCCCTGGAGCTTGCGTTGGAAGAGCTCAGAGAAATTCGAGACGATGTTTTGGGAGAGGTGACTGAACAAGAAAAAAAAGGTTTTAAACTGCGTGCTCAAGTTGGAGGATGGATTAAAAGGGCACAAAAAACTGAAGCCGATGTCAGTAAGCTTCTTGACACCAGAGCAATCCAAATGGACCGACTGTGTTTAGGTGGATTTTGTTCAAATAATCTCATGTCGAGTTGCGATTACGGTAGAGAGGTGGTGAAGATGTTGAAGGAAGTTGAACATCTGAAATCAGAACGACGAGATTTCAATGTGGTGGCAGTGAGACTTCCGACACCTACGGTGGAGAAAAAGGACATCCAATCTAAGGTAGTTGGTTTGAACTCATTGAGGCAAAGGGCTTGGGATGGTCTAATGAAAGATGAAGTAAGAATCTTTGGGCTTCACGGCATGGGGGGAGTAGGCAAGACCACCCTCCTTAAGCACATCAATAACAACTTCTCCCTCGTCGAAAAGGAATTCGACATTGTGATTTGGGCCGAGGTGTCTCAGGATGCACCCATCGAGAGTATCCAAAAGCAAATCATGAGGAGACTAGGCTTTCGTGATGGTGAATGGAGAGGGAAAACTCGAGTGGAGAACGCCTCCGACATACGCAATGCCCTTAGTGGAAAGAGATTCGTGTTGTTGTTGGATGATTTATGGAGTGAAGTAGATCTGAGTGAGATAGGAGTTCCATATCCGACCAGAGAAAATAAATGCAAGGTAGTGTTCACCACTCGTTGGGAGGAAATATGCAATGTGATGGATGCTAATGGAAATATGGAAGTTAAATGTCTATCATGGGATGATGCATGGGACTTGTTTCAACGTATAGTCGGAGAAATGACATTGAAAAGTCACCCAGACATCCCGGAACTTGCAGTAGAAGTTGCTGTAATGTGTGGTAAGTTGCCACTTGCGCTCAACGTCATTGGCAAGGCCATGGCTAGTAGAAAGACGGTAGAGCAATGGCGTCATGCAATCCGTGGCCTGAATTCATTTAGCTATAATTTTCCTGGTATGAAAGACAAGATTTTTAAAATTCTGAGATTTAGCTATGCTCACTTAGAGAGTGAAGAGGTCAAAATGTGCTTTCTGTATTGTGCTTTGTTTCCGAAATATTGTGAAATATCCAAAGAGCTGCTGATAGATTATTGGATATATGAAGGAATTATAAAAACAAAAGGTCGCGGAGATAGAGACGAAGCTGTTGACGAGGGTCATGATATAATCATGACGTTAGTTTCTGCATGTCTATTGATGGAGGATGAATCGAGAGAGATGGTGAAAATGCATGATGTGATTCGTGAGATGGCCCTTTGGATAGCATCTGACTGTGGACACTATGTCTTGGAAGCTGGTGAGGGATTACGTCAGGTTCCCAATATCCGAAACTGGGAAAAAGTGAGAAGGATGTCGCTAATGTATAATGATATAGAGGAGATAGACGGAGATGCCAACTGCCCTGAGCTTACAACCTTATTCCTACAGTGCAACAACGTGAGGACTATTTCTGGCCAATTCTTTTGGCACATGCCGAAACTTGTGGTCTTGGATCTATCGGATAACAGGATTCTTGAAGAATTGCCAGAAGAAATATCGCAGCTAGTCTCCTTGAGGTATCTCGACTTATCTAGGACAAGGATTAAGCAGGTACCGGTTGGATTACAAGAGCTGAGTAAGCTAGCATACTTGAACATAGAGTGGACCCTTGAATTGGAAGGTATTGGATGGAGGATATCAAGTTTGCGGAATCTGCAAGTGCTGAGATTGATAGGGCCTGGTGCTTGTTGCGATCTACAGCTATTGGAGGAAATACAACAGCTGGAGCATTTAGCATACTTGACAATATGTGTGAATGGTGACGCTGTGGGGAGGTTTCTAGGCATCCGCCGTTTGACAAGTATTACTCGACACTTACAAATTAAATCATCAGCATCATCAGTTTTAGTATTGGACCCTGTAGCTTTGGGCTGTCTACGACGGATTCGGGTTTTAGACTCTGATATGTCGGAGATAAAGGTAGATTTAGCAAGCAGGACGTGGCTGTCCGCTCCACGCTTCCGTGACCTCTCCCATGTCGGAATATACAGCTCCGAGAGTCTGAAGGATCTGACGTGGCTGTTGTTTGCTCCAAATCTTGTAACTCTGGAAATCGATAACTCGTGGCAAATGGAGGACATCATAAACGGAGAAAAAGCGGAAGCTATTATGAATGGGCAACCGAGTATCATGCCCTTTGAAAAACTTGAACATCTTACCTTGGGTGCTTTATATAAGCTGAAGAGCATCTACCCGAGCACTCTGCCTTTTTCAAACCTCAAGAGTATCGGTATATTCAGCTGCCCGCAACTGAAATGTCTTCCCCTGGATTCTGAGAGCGCCAAGAGGGGTTTCGAAGGCATAGAGACAGACAAGAGTTGGGCGGAAGGAGTTGAGTGGGTGGATGATGCTACCAGGCAGCGGTTTCTACCCAGATTGAGAGTAGTGGACGAAGAAACCTCTTCATCAGAGGCTTTGATGTGAAGCTCTCTCTCCTC